TTATCATTATTATATATATTTAATTTGTATAAAATATCATAAAAATTATAATAGTTTTTATTTTTAAGAATTAATTATTATATATATTAATACTAATTGAAATAAAAATTCATATATGTGAAAAATCAGCTTAAAATTAGTCTGAAACTTATAAAATATCAAAAATTAGCTTAGCTGATTGGTATCTATCAAAAATCAGTTAAAATTTAACCAAAATTTGATTTATTTTATTTATAACTGATTGATATTTGATTGATATCTGAAAAAAAATAATCTAAATTATACAATTAATATAAATATAATAAATTTAATGTTTAATAATAAAAACATTATTATATTTTAATTAATCATATTGTGATAAATAAAATTTTTATTAAATTTATACTTAGTAATCTTAATGTTATATTATTTTTTAAAGATTATTTTATAGATCAATTACTTAATTTAGTAATAATATAGATTATACATATAATTTTTAGTATAATAGTCTATTACAACTTAATTTTTTGCAAATCTATTAACTTTATTTCTATAAAACAAAAACATATTTGGCTTAGTTTGCTTTATTAATTATCTAGTATAAATAATTTTTTTTGTATTTTTATTGGATTTTATTATTTTTCTAGTAAAAGTAAAACAAAATGGCTTAATTAAGCAATAAACTTATATAAATAATAAAAAGTATAATTAACTAATTATAAAACTTATTTTTTACAACTATTCATAATTACTTGAAACTGTTTCTAATTGTTTATCCCTTTGCATTTATTTGTAATCCTTTAATTATTTGTAAACCTATTATATTAATTTATTGTATTAACTTAAAATATTTAAAGCATAATCTTTAAAATATCTCTGTATTTATTCTTGTATTTATATTAAAAATAATATTTGATATTAATGTATATCATTCCTGTGATTTCTTGAAATAATTGGAATAGTTTTATTTACTCTTATATGAATTATTTTAAGTATTAATCTCTCATAATAACATAAATAGCTTGATTGCATTTTTTTATTCTGTATAATAAAATTTTAAATTTTAAAAATATAGAAAAAGAAATACTTTTTAGATTATATCTAAAATCATAAGGAATATTTGAAAAGATTTAATTTATTATCAGTTATTATTGATACTCAAAGCTGATCATTTTGAAATTAATTCTTCAGATACATTTTTAGATTTTTAGTATTTATTAATAAATGATTTTGGTTGAAATTCTAAGAAAATGTGCAAATTAATGAATATATCCAACCAAAAGGTAAAAATGAATATTTATTTTTATTTGCAAATATTGTAATGATTACTCACTTTTATATACTTTAAAAAAAATGTAATTGAAAGCATTTGTGATATTAAAAAATGGAAAGTATAGCGATAGGTATAATATTTATTGATTCATTCTGCTTTATTACGTTAATCATTAAATCACTATCATTTTTTTTACTTTTTTTTAAAAAAAAAAATTTAAAATATTAGATTAGCGAACTGAAAATGGAAATCTTTATAAGGGTCATTTACGTTAAAAGAAGTTGGAAAACTTTATCAAAACTATGAAGTATGTTGAATAGCAAGAATTATTAAAAAGTCTGGAAGATAAAGAAATAAATGATGTTAATATGGAAATATTAGAGATATATTAAAAGATAATTAAATAATGGAATGAATTATAGCTAGAGGTTTGACCGGCCTAAAAATCTTTAACCGGTTAATAAACGGTTAAAATATTCGTTAACCTGTTAATCATCCAGAATCCTTTTTTAAATGCCGAATATTTATGTAAATTCAAAGGGTATTACACAAACCTGTTCAAAACGGTTAGCAACAGTGATGGGTCATTTGATAATTTTGAAATGACCTCTGAATGATCATCGAATGACCTAGTCATTTGAGGTCATTTGTCATGTTAAATATTGAATTTAACTCCGGCCGAAATTCAATTCGACCAGAATTAAGATTTTTATATTCGCAAAAAAATATTGTCTAAATCCGGCCAAATTTATAGTACTGGTCTAAGTTAGGCGCTTGAACTGACAATTATGAACCATTCAAGGATGAAGAAAATTATATAATTTCTTAACAAAAGTGTAATTAATTAGAAACGTATTACGGCAAGAATTTAGGAAATTCGCCATTTCTTTTTTTTTACAATTTTAAAAGAATTGCGAAAATTAGTTAATATATAATTGAGGAAATTTCGATCATATCATTTCAAACTAAATATGATCAACTAGAGGTAATATCCAAAATGGGCATTTCAAATATCCCAATTCGGAATTCGAAGAATGCGCTTGCCACAAATCTCATTTCGGATATCCCAAATGACCACTTCAGGATTTATTAAAATTTCTAAATTGCATTTTAATTTTATAAATAATCTTTGTGAAAATATAATAATGCATGATATTTTATTCTCACAATTAATTAGAGAGGCCTTCAATACTACAAATATATCTGAAGTTTATATAATATGTAAATTCAAAATGTAAATTATCCTGGTGAGGGTAGCGATAATCCATTAATGTAAAATTTGTTCACATTTTTTTTTTTTTTTTTTTTTTTTTTTTTTACAATATAAGTAAAGTTTGATAAACAAATATTTAGTTATGATTTGCAACTTTACAGAAACTTGGTTTTCTTAATACACAGTAACTGCAAAGTGACTATATAGTAAATATAAATGTAATACAGGCCAAATTCTATATGCTGGCCAGAATTAAAAATTTTATATAACATGAAATATTTATGAAAACGTTCGAATCATTAAATTACATTAATTATTTTGGCCAGAATTATTGTGATCACATGATATAATTTTTAAATGACCAGGTCATTTGTCATTTAATGTTGAATGACCCAAATGACACATGAACAGTCATTTTTTTTTTAATGTATGTATGGTATGTATGCTATACATGTATTGTTTTTTCATAACAAATAGTCCATACTTGCATGATTCATAATACTATACATATGGGTATACAGCAAACCTGTCCTGTGCAGTACGGTTAGCAATGTATGTATGGTATTTTTTTTTCATATATGTACAGTACTTGTTATGAAAAAACCATAAATGCATAGTTTTAAAGCATACATACCATACATACATTCAAGAAAAAGCCGTACCGTACATACATTACTAACTGTACTGTACAGGTTTGTGCAATACCCATTACTTGTATGGTTTCTAATACTATATATATATGAAAAAAAAACCATACTATACTAACTTTGCTAACCGTACTGTACAGTTTTGCTATATTCCCAAATTCAAAACGCCTTTCTATCAAGATTGCACTTGGAAAACATTCGATAAGACTAAAATATAAGATTTTCAATCAGAAATAGATGCCTATAAAAATCATAATATACGAGTTTCTAACAAAAGCAAATTATATAATAAGCATTTAAACCATTAGCACCATAATCGTTCTCGAGTTTCGATTTTAAGATTCGATTTTCTGTTTCGATTAATCGATTCTAATTGGCGCGCGGACTATTACCAAAAATAAAAATTTAATTATCAAAAATTTAATATATTAAAAAAAAAAATTTACCAAAGAAAAATTTTACATTTTCACAATTAAACATTTTATGATCATATTCTTCAAGCGCAGGTAATTCTAAAACATTAAAATAAGGTTGGACATATTTTATGCATATTAAACCGTGTAACACTCACTATAGAATGTTTTACCATAAAAAAATTTCTTTTTAGAAACTGATACGGGTAGGTTACAAGGAATTTAGAAAATCTATTTGACCGGACTTCTGCTGGAAACTTTGTTTTCTATCAGATTTTTTTTTTTGTATTAAATTAGGTTCGAGATTTTAAAATTTTATATTGATAACAAACTTAAGTTTCTTATCCTTTCTATTCAAAATAAATCATGTTTTATTTGTATACGTTACAAGTAAAAACTTTCTAAATATTTTTAACAAGAAAAATTAAGCATTCAAATTTTTTATTAATTACTATAAAATACACGCAAGATTTTTACGCATTTGAGTTTTGTAAATGAAAGTTTTGACACGGTAATCAGAAACTCGATTGTTGAAGGCGTGTGACAAACAAAAAGATGAATCACAATTTGTGTAGCTTGTCACGTGATATACTGCTACGTAAAAATAAAATTTTTTTTTGACTTAACATCGACAAGGACCGCGATTCCCACCCCTATCCCACGCTGTCATGCTCATCCCGACGCCATAGCCCATTGTCCCATTGTAGCCGAAAGTGATCAACTTAAAACTTTAGAAAACAATTTCATTTTAGGGTGAATCAATAAAATATGTGATCACGTGTTAGATCTTACGTGTATATTTTAACCTTTGTATAGTATGAACAAGCCACATTTTTCTTTTTATCAGTTATAAGATTGTTGTATTCAGTTCTTTCGTTTAAGTATTTATAAACAATTTGTATTTGCAAGCAGATGGAAGTTATTATGACGCTAAATTTATTTAAATAAAATCAATTTAAACGTATTCTAATTAATTCAAACTACGCAAATTACAAAATAAAGTAAGAAAAATAAAAGAAGTTACAACGTTAAAAATAATGAAGTTGATATCGCAAAGGAGAAAGGGAAGAGGTTAAGGAGTATGTATGCAAATGAAGGAAGGCGAACTATGTGTTGTGTTATCTCAAAGAACTCCAAAACCAATCATATAATCATTAATTTTTAATCAGAATTGACATCCTTACAAATTGTTACCCTAACTAATTGTTCGACAAGGACAAACCAAATTCGGTGGCGAAGATAATTTATTAGAAAAAATAAAAGTTTCTTTGGGGCGAAACTATATTAATTTTAACGACGTAAATTTCACGTGAAATATTCTTCATTTCACTCATTAACCACCACCGTCTCTTTTCCACTCCTTTCAGGTTTAAGATTTCCCATAAAGAACGCAGAAATAGTACATAACATCCCTATTGGTACTAAAACTATATAGGCTACTTTCAGTGCATCAACGTAAGCAGTTATAACCGGAATTCTCATATTGTCAGGCAAGTCATGAACTGCAATAGCGGATTGTCTCACTGCCAACTTTATTTCGGTTGGTAATGAAAGTTCATTCAATTTATGGACAAGAACATTATTGAATGTTGTGCCGATTATTGCGATACCTAATACGCCTCCAACTATAATGAATAAACATATATAAAAATAAAAATAAAAAGGAAGCATAAGGGTCTTTGATTTCATTAATTAAATAAAAAATTCTGAAAATGATATGCTCACTTGTATTAAAGAAGGTTAAAAGAGAAGTAATAACCGCGATATCTTTATAATTGACAGTCTGTTGTACACAAAGCAAGGTAGTTTGAAATATAACTAAAAAAAAAATTTAATATAATAATTAAGTAAATAAAACGAGCACCGTCAGTAAATGATTTTCCAAAAAGACACGTTAACGAAGTATATCCATCTTTATCTTACCTCCTACTCCTACACCGGTGATAATCATATAACTAATTTGAACACCTCTTCCAGAATGTTCGTTCCATAAAGTAAGTAACCCGGATCCAACTGTGATAAATATTCCACCAATTATAGTTATCGTACGATAAGATGCTATATCTGACCGTGACATTATTTGACCGGTTGATATAGACGCTGATACTGCACCAAAAATATATGGAAGTAATTCAAGACCTGACTCGGTAGCTGGAAAAAGAAGTTGGAAGTACATATTAATAGGTGAAAAAAGAGATAGTCATGAGAAAATGGTTTCCCCGTGATATTTACCACTGTCACCTTTAATAACTTGGAAATAAATTGGAATGTAATAAATCAATCCAAAAAATACCATTCCTTGAAAGAAGATCGTGCTTAAGTTTCCCATAACATTTACATTTTTAAACAAATGAGCTATACAAAGAAAGAAGTAATTTGCAAAGTTAAATATGTCTTTAGCGAAGTTTTTCTCCGTCTTTAATGGTCGTACTTACATGGCGCAACGGGTTCAATGGCAAATTTAACTTCAATCAAAACAAATAAAAATAATCCAACACATCCTAATACTAATAGGGCAATAATAATAGGAGAATTCCATGCGTACACATTTCCTCCCCAATTCAACGGTAATAAAAATGCTACAATAGTTAAAGTCATAACAATGGTTCCAAGATAATCTATCCGTTTAAGTTTTTGTATTAATGAGCCTTTTGGGCGTGGCATACGAAGCAAAAATATTATTGCGACAACAGCTACTGCTCCTAATGGAAGGTTAATAAAAAATGCCCATCTAATTGAGAGACATACAAACTTAAATTAGTGTTTCATGTTAGAGAGTTTAAAAATTGCTAGAGAGTCCACATTTACCTCCAAGTTAAGTGATCTATATAGAAATTAATTAATATTATAAATGTTAAAATATTAGAAAAAAATTTATTGAGTAGATGTTACTTATTTACCTGTAAAAACGCCTCCAAGTAACGGGCCCACTACTGAAGAGAAACCATAAACAGCCACAATAATTCCCTGATATTTTCCGCGATCTTGAAATGAGCCGATATCTGATATTATAATCATAACCAAGCTAATGATACCACCACCTCCAAGTCCAGCTATGGCACGGAAGATAATCAATGAAATCTTAAAAAACGCGATGGTAAGAAATGGTTAGCCATAATTCGTGAAGTTTAGAAAAGAAACTTCTTTTTAGTCGATGTACCATATTTGAGGCTAGACCACAAAGCAAACTTCCTATTTCAAAAATAATAATTGCAAATAGGATTGTTTCTTTTCTACCAAAAATATCCGAAAATTTTCCATAAGTCGGTTGTAAACCCGTCTATAAACATGAGATTTTTTTTTTTTTTTTATTAAAAAAAAAATAAATTTATTAATCTTATCGAAAGAAAACTAAAACGATTAAAATTACCATTGTTAATAAAAATGAGGTGGCAACCCAAGAAATTTCATCTAGAGCATTAAAGTCTGAAGCGATTTTTGGTAATGCTGTAGACACGATAGTTTGATCCAATGTAGCTAAGAAAACTCCAAGTGATAAACTAAATAAAAGAAATTCTTTTTTTTGAGTCCGATTTTCTCATGATTTGGCATAGTTTAATGCAACATACCCAATAATGATCATGATCAATTCAATTTTACTTAATTGTACTTTAACTTGACCATTTTTTAGTGTTTCATCATTTAATGTTTGAGCCTCTGGATCATTGTTTTTTACATTGACACGTGATGTGGTGTTTGAATGATCCTCCGTCTCTGATGACATTTAGCTATGGTTCTTTTTATTAGATATGTGTGATAATTATTTAAGAAACGAATATATTCGATGAAAGTATAAAGGGATGAATTCTGCAAAAAAATCTAGTTTAATGATATCCATTGAAGTTTATTGTAAATTCGGATCAATTTTAAGTGAAAAAAAAATCTGTGGTAAAATGATTATACGTGATTTTCATAAATGAGATAGTCATTTACATTATAGTCTTTCTTTTTTGGAATTAAATGGAATTTTTTTTTTGAATAAGGTATTTTTTAATTGTTCTCCCTCCGAAAATCCGAAAATATTCCTTTTGGAATAATTAATTTCTCGGACAAAATTCTTTGGGTTCTATTATCACGATTAAACCAGCAAATCTTGTGTTACTCAAAGGTTAACAACTTTTGATAATCACCTGTCATTGGATGGTCATACCATGTAACTACCTTTTTCGGTTTGTAACACATTTTTTTTTGACATATTATAAGGAAAAAGGAATGGAATAATAATTACCCGATTGATATCGTTAAAATATTTAGCAATCATAAATAAAAGACAAAGTTACAGAATTCATTGTCTTTCGGCATATCACAATTGCGCGTGTATTAGATCGATCCATACGGGTATAATATTTATGAGTCGTAAAGTCAAGTCTTTGTATCAGTTCAGTAAATCAAGGTAATATTAATTAATTAATTAATCCAATAATGTAATCGGAGCTAGTACAAAGTAGCGAGTAAAGTCCGTTAATTAATCAGTTAATTAATAAAAAAAAAAAAAAAATAATTTTATTTTTTTATCACTGCGGAAATTTTTCACAGTGTAGAGTAAATTAATATATGCATGCAATTATAAAGTGATGGGAAATTGCTTATTTAAATGTTAAAAAAAAAAAAAAATTTCTTTCGCATCCATCGCATTTAATTCTATATGATTTTCAAATAGGGTTTCCGTTTTGAAAATTCTTTTATTTTTATTCATCTTTTTTTATATTTTATTTTATTTTTTTTGATATTATTTTTTTTCATAATTTCTTTTTTTTTCATAAGATTTTCGATATTCGTTTGAAATTATTTTAAAGAATTTTCAAATATTTGAAACCCTATTTTCAAAAGTTGAGAAAAGTAAAAATAAAAAAAAAAACGTGTTTGATATTATTTACCATGTCACGAATTTTTCTACAGAATTTCAACATTTCTAAAACTAATAAAAGAGTTAATTAGAATCACAATTTATTAAAAACAAACTTCATTCAAGATAAAATTTTAAAATTGAAATACAATATTTAAATGCATAACAAAACAGTTCGTGAGATCATGATTTATGCATTCTATTAAATCACAACGAATTTCGATCGTATTAAAACTTTAGACAAGATTCCTCGCCTCGTAAATAATTTCACTTATTAAAAATAAATGTTCCTGAAGACGGATTGAAGTCAGAGATAAAAATTACCATCAGAAGTTACATATTTGGAACTTAATTTGACTTTTTAATTTCATAAATTAATTTTAAAAGAAATGACTTCCGCAGTTTTCTTTAGAAATTCAAATCAATCGAATTTACTCTATTGAATTATGATGATTTCAGATTAAAACGTGATAATATTTAGGGATGTAAAACGGTCCCAAATGAATTTGAATATAGAAAAGTCTAATCGCTTAAATATGATAAGTAATCCTTGTTAAAATTATTTTAATAAATTTTTATGATTAGTTTTTAAAGGAGATGAACTTTGAGTTTCATGGACCGATAAGTTGGAACCGGGTTCCCAGGACCCGATCCTAAATTTCAAAAATGGATTCCCAAATAAGACCAAGTCTATTTCCATTAATATATTCTTGGAAAATAAAAATATAACGAAACTAAATCGGGAATTTCCTAATAATATTACATTTAAATTTTGATAGCGATAGTATATCAAGATTGTCAGCCATGCGAAATAATAATTTACAACTTACATTATACAAAAATGTTAAAATTTGAATGACATGTACAACAGATCCCGTAGCTCTTCGATGTTATGGTAAGATATTTTTTATTTGTCAAAGGACGATTTTTTGTGCAATGATTCGCAAAATATAGTTTTATTTATTGAGTACTTGTTTATCGTTAAATTTTTCCCTCGAAAACGCTTTAATATATATAACATGACATCCGACCACGATTATTACTGCGGTATAATATTCATATGCTTACCAACTATCAGAACACAAGTTAGGACAATTGTTTGACGAATGAATAAATTTGTCTAGAATTAAACGCTGGATTTGGTTCCTTTCAAAGTAGTAGTACAAAAAGCTTGTAACACCTTCTAAATTAATTACATTATAAAAATAATGAATATTTACTGATCTAGACCTGGTTTCATTTTTCTAAAATTAAAAAAAAATAAAATAAAATTAAATTAAACATCATCATGGCCGCTAGTAGTAAACTTGAAAAGGTCTATTCAGCAATTGAAAGATCGTAGGCCTTGACGAATAAGAATTATTCCGACATAACCGAACTTTACGATTTAGAAATAGCGTGATTATTTAATGATGACTCTCTTAAAGAGGATGATAAAGATGAAGCGATAAACATGTTAATGAAAATTATAATTTTCATAAAATTCGCTCTAATAAAGGAAATATGAAAAATTGTAACCGCGAATATTTCACGACAATTATTGTGAGCACCGCATTCGGATCTATTTGACAAGAAAATTTTCAAGTTAGACGTTTGGAAATGATGAAATCAATTACCTAAAACAGCAATGTCCATTGAAATCATTCGTCCCAAATAGAATTGATGAATGAATACCTTTCAATTATTATGATTCTCGGAAATTTTAACGGCTACATGGATTGACGGAAACTATAGCAATTGGGATGTCGAAGAATTGATATTAAAAAGGGCTGGATCCCATAAAGTAATTCTCAAAACGCTAGAAGATATTGAAGATGCCAGTATTGGATCGAGGAGATATGTATTTACGTTATAAAGAATACAAATTTAATATAATATAATTTATTTATTGGTTAGCTTAGGCTATATCAGATCTGACTATAGTTTTGTGTAATGGATTAACTCAAAAATCCAGTAGATGGAAACTATATGATTATAATGGATACAGATTTAAAAAAAAATATCTACTCGAAACCCATGATAAACTTACATGGAAAGTAAGAATCAAAATTTTCTTTTGATATAATTGAAGCACTTTACTTTATTAATGGTGAAAGTTATAAATAGAGATTTTAATAAAAAATTATTGAATAAAAATGAAGTAATTCTGACAACTATTTATTTAATAATATCAAATTAATCAGTGTTACCTCAACGTCGGCGCTCTACACTTTCGTTATGTCAGTGTTTATATCCGTCCAGATTTACTTATATCTGTTCAATCCGGATATCCTAATTTATCCGGATATCCAGTGATATTATCCGGATAATATCTGAATATCTTTGACAAAAATAAAATGATGAAAATGATGACGAAAAACGATGATGACGAAAAATGATGATGATGATGACGATGATGATGACGATGGTGATGACGAAAACAATGATGATGAAACGGTGATGACGAAAAAAGATGATGACGAAAACGATGATAACAAAAAATGATGATGATTGAATGGCAGACCGTATTCTAGTTAAAAATAAAATATTTAATTTCAATATATAATTGTGAATATATTACGTCTTATGGCAAAAATTGTGATTTATTGATTTAATACGTTAACCAGATTCTGGAAAAACATTGCCAACTAACTGCCAATTTCTTTTACAAAATACTAAATACTCAAAAGTAGATGGCAATAAATTGGAGCGTCTTATTGTCATGATGATACCAGCATCAGAAAATAATCTCTCACTGGGAGCAGATGATGCTGGTATAGCCAAATATTTTCGTGCTAATTGTGATAAAATTGGAAATAGGGATGGTAACGGTCGGTCAAGGGCCTTTGACTGACCGACTGGTTAACTGACCAATTTTAACTGACCGGTTGACCGACCGGTTAATATTAATATAATTGAGCAGTTTTGGCTTAATAGAAAGTTTTAATTTAGCCGAATATTATAATTTTTAAACTACTTTGTCATTTTTATATAGTGGCACAGCATTATTGCAGACTTTAATTTTTTTTTCAAAATTTCAAAATTTTAATTTATAGATAATTAAAATAAAATGTTGATTTTGTTAATTTTAATACAAAATTTTTTTACTATTTAAAACATGGTTATTCAGTTTCAAGTCAGTCAGTCAACTGGTCGGTCAAAATCAGTCAGAATCGGTCAGTCAACCGGTCAGTCAGAAGCCTTTGACTGACAGTGACCATTAGCATCCCTAATTGGAAAATGTAACTCTTGAGAAGCCCACCATTTAAAAGGACGCATTAAATCCAATTTCATTAAGAACCATATATTCGTCAATTTCATTCTGCCTTCCAGGTCGATAATGATTTGCAACTATATTACAAAAAAGAGGATTGCCAGGTGATCGTGAATTATGTTGTTTTAAGACAATACCTAAATTCTGTTTTTCCTCTTCATATATTTTTCTCAAAAGACTTTTTGTTCTGTTTATTTTTGATTCTGACGCAAAATTTAGAGATTTAAATCTGGAATCCAAGAAAGTAGCTATCATTGCTTCATCTAGAGATACACTCCCCTCCAAAAAATATCCGACCACTTGCCGATCATTTACCGATCATTTGAAATTATAGCTGATTTTGACGTTTATTACTTAACAATTTATTAATAAAATTTTTACAAAAT